ATTGCCTTGGCCGCTGTTTGTGGATGGAACGATGAGGCACTGTGGGCCCATCAGCCATTGGTGTGCAGCTATTCCAGGGGCATGATTTGCCCTGTGATTGCTGGCTATGCCCTACCCCCTGCCTTGTTCCCTCCCTCCCTTTCCATACTGTTGTCACTTGAAGTAGATGACACCTTGATATAACTGATTCCTTCTATAAATGACAGTGTCTTAGTTCAGTCGCCATAAGAAAACACAAGATCAGAAGAACACAAGGTTAACAAAAATTTGTTGCCTAACCAAGGTTCGGCCCTGATTATCAGGTATGCTTTTGAGGTATGTTAAAAGGTTAATGATTGTGTTTGGGTTCTCAGGAGATGGTGGCAGATCTACTAAAAACATAAAACATATATTATAAATCCAAGATGGCGAAGGATAAGAAATTAAGATATGGCAGGAGGGAAAGTCTGCTCAAATAGCCAGGTTTTAAGTTTATTCCTGAAAACACCCAGAGAGGGAGCTAGGCAGATCTCCACTGGCAAGTTGTTCCAAAGGCGAGGGGCCACTGCCGAGAAGGCCCTGTTCCTCGTTCTCTCCTTCTGGACCTCCCTTGATGTTAGGCCCTTCAGCCACCCAGCCTGGCTGGAACAAGTGACTCCGGCAGAACTGGGTAGGAGAAGGCACTCTGCTGGATGTTGAGGTCCTAATCCATTTAGGGCCTTATATGTAATTGTAAGAACTTTGAAGTCAACACGGAAACAAATGGCCAACTAATGCAAGGTGGCCAGCATGAGGAAAATATGTTGGTATCTTTTCACTCCTGTAAGAAGTCTGGCCGCCACATTTTGTACCATCAGAAGTTTCCGCATCAGTCTCAAAGGCAGCCCCATGTAGAGCGCATTACAGTAGTCTAATCTTGAGACTGTGAGCACATGGACCAAAGTGGTGAGTGCCCCCACATCAATATAGGGAGGCAGCTGAGCAATCCACTGAAGGTGGAAATGTGCAGAGCGGACCACTGATGACACCTGGGTCACCATGGTGAGCGCCATGTCCAGATGTACACCCAAACTGTAAACCTCACTCTTGGTGGTAAGAGTCATCACCCCAAAAAGAGAGGGAGTTTCCCAGAGCACTGATGTCTGGGGCGCCCACCCGAAGGACCTCTGTCTTGCTTGGATTCAGCCTTAGTCCGTTCTCCTGCATCCATTGCTGAACAGCCCCCAGGCAGCGCTCAAGGGACGAAACAGCACAATTTGCACTCTCTAGGGACAGTCCTCCAAGAAGGAATGGAGCCAAGCAAGAGCCAGGCCAATGATTCCCAACTCAGAGTGCCTCCCCAAGTTGATACCGTGGTCAACAGTATCAAAGGCGGCTGAGATATTGAGAAGAACCAGCAGAGACATTTTGCCCCTATTGGCCTCTATCAGCAGGTCATCCAACAGTGTGACCAGTGCTGTTTCTGTGCCGTGGCCCAGCCTGAAGCCCAACTGGAATGGATCCAGGGCATTGGTTTCATCCAGAAGAGCCTGCAACTGGTTGGCCACCACTCTCTCAACTACCTTGCTAAGGAAAGAAACGTTGGCGATGGGCCTATAATTACCAATATCGCCTGCCGCCAAGCTCAGTTTCTTCCTAATGGACCTAATGAGTGTCTCCTTGAAGGGACCCATTAATTATTGCCGTAGCCCATTCAGATGTTATAGGCCTGGCTAATTTGATTAGCCAGGCCAGGCAAGGGTCAAGGGAGGAGGTGGTGGCACAACAGCAGTCAAGCACTCTGTCCACCATATCTGATGTCACAGGCTGAAAGTGGTTAAGTCTCATAGAGCAAGATGGAGTACTGGACGTCTCAGCTCGATCCACTGTTTACAAATAGGGGGTGAGATTCCAGTGGATGGCCTCCACTTTTGATTTTTAAAAGGCTGCAAATTGGTCAGGTGAGATCCTAGTGGGAGGCCAATCACTATGACCAACTCTGGATAGATCGCAAACTATACAGAAAAGTTCCGCCTGCTGGTTGGAGGCTTCACTTATCCGGACAGCGAAGTAAGATCGACTAGCAGCCTTCACATTAGATTGGTAGAGGTTAGTTGTGATCCTGACAGCTATTTGCTTATATTCCATCGGGTTCTGCCTCCATATGCACTCTAGCCTTCTATTTCGCTTCCTTGATCGCAGTTCTGAATTAAACCAGGGCGAAGGGTGATCTCTGCATGCAATGACTTGGCCAGGCATTCAAGTATGGCATTCAGCCTGGACATTTTATGCGACCTAGCATGGTTGAAGGCCATGTATCCAACATGGTCCACCATCATCCCTTGGTTGGTGTGGAGGGGTGCCAGGAGTCTTTTCTCTGTTAACACAGCACACAGGAGGCACTCAATTGGCCAGGCATTCTAGTATGGCATTAAACCTGGACATTTTATGCGACCTAAAATGGTTCAAGGCCATGTATCCAACATGGTCCACGATCATCCCTCGGTTGGTGTAGAGGGGTGCCAGGAGTTTTTTCTCTGTTAACACAGCACACAGGAGTGTTAACAGGGAGGTTTTGCAGAGTGGTCTGTAGCAGCCTTGGATTGGTGATTGGTCACCAGAGGATCCGATTGGATAGGCTTAAGTTTTTTTGGAATGATGGTGTTCATCTGTCTGATTTGGGTTTGTGGTTCTTCTTAGAGGACATCAAGGGGCACCTGCTTTCTGAGCTTGATAGGATCGATTGCGGGCATGCGACTTAGCATGGCTAGTCCCTATGCTGTGGCAGGTAGTGCAGATAAAACAGTTTTTTCTGGTGAGTCCCTTTGCAAATTCAGATAAGCTAACAGCTCATCAGCGTTGCGGATTGTGTGATTACAGTGCTTGGGGGAAAAGATGCACTGGGGCCACACTCAGACCAACAGTCAACAAGTAAAAGATGGCTTGAGGTCCAGGGGTGGCCAAATTGCGGCCGGCTGAGTTCTCGCTGTCTTTAAGACCGCAACAACTTGGGACTTGGGACTTGCCCATTTGTTGAGTAAGGGAGACTTTGAGACCTCTGAGATTTCATCTGATTCCGCAGTACGGTAGGCCCCCCTTTTGCCAAAGGATGGCAACATCGAATTATTATCAATAAAGTATGGCCTGTGTTTTAACCCATGATGCTTGTCTTGTGTCTTTATTCCGGGGTGGGGAGGGCAAAGAATTTGGGGATAGGGCTCTTTTGGTGATGGTTGCTGCATAAGCCTGAAAATTTCAGAAAGATTGTTAGAAATGGGAGTTTGCAAGTGTCACCTAAAATTGTACAGCCAGTGCAATCACACAGGTAATAACAACAGCACCACTTTGCTATATTTCTACCAGCATTAATATTGTTCCAAGGCACTCACCCTCTGAAGTAATTGAAATGATACAGATAGCTTATTACTGAATTCTAGTTTAGAGGTTCTGGCTTCTGGCTCAGCTCCTTCCTTGGTATTTGTTTACTGTCTGCATCTCTCCAATTTCACTGAAAAAAACAGGTAGAGTTCATTGAAGGAGCTGGCCTCTATACTGTTTTGATGCTTATTGTTCATAAAGTTATTTTTTGCTTTCTCCTTCTGTCTCCTATCAACAAGAGATATAGCCAAACATTTCTTCAGGAGACATTCAGGTAAATCAGATAGCAAATGTTCAGCTTTGTGTTCAGCTTCCTCATGAACACTCGAAAGACTTGCTAGGTGCTTTCAGCATGATCAGTGTTTCTTTGCTGACTTCATTTCTTTTTTCTTCTTTTTACCATAACGAGAGGCTGGCAGACCTCTGTTTGAGCCTGGAAACTCTGTATTCTGGGCTAAGATTTATGCACATAATAACTCTACTGAGGAAAGAGACAAATAAGGGTTCTGATGCCTGTGAGCCGACCCTTAGGCTTGTTGGGTGACATTTGTGACAAAGCTCTTCGTGCCTTCTAAATTGGCAAAGAAATGAGAAGGGGACTAATCTATAACACTAGAAGATGTAACTGTTAACATGTCAAAGCTCCAGGGTGAAATTCCCCATATTTGTGGTATTAAGGCTATGGACTCTGAGGAGATGACAGACTTGGCAAGAGTTCCCTTCAGCACTGGTAGTAACAGCTTCAAGCTAAGACATAAGTGTATTTTTAAATTCCACCCTGATGCCTTTTGCACTGGGGCTTCTGAGAGCTTCTCTGAAATGGAAGATGGCCCTTTAGTTGAAAGAGGTTCTCTGCCTTTGCTCAAGAATTCTTGCCTAGAAATCTTGGCAGAGCCACAGCTTCCTCAGCACTCCCACAGCCAATACCTGCTGAAACAAGGCTTTTCCTAGGAGTGGCATGGGGCTACCCAGCAAGACTAAGTGACAGCCCTGTTTAGGCTGTGGTCTAAGATTGCTGTTTTTCTGCATGTTGAGCTGTGCTGCACTCAGAGCTGTCCAGGGTGGCACTGCGAACCTGAACCTGTTTTTATGACAAACTGTAATTGTACATTAATTTTTCTGATTTATTCATGGAAGTTGTAATTGGAACTGCATTTTTTTAAAGAAAGCTCTGGCTAACATATTGTAGCTTGCTTCTTCATTTTTACTTACTTACTTACTTACTTACTTACTTACTTACTTACTTACTTACTTACTTACTTACTTACTTACTTACTTACTTACTTACTTACTTACTTACTTACTTACTTACTTACTTACTTACTTACTTACTTACTTACTTACTTACTTACTTACTTACTTACTTACTTACTTACTTACTTACTTACTTACTTACTTACTTACTTACTTACTTACTTACTTACTTACTTACTTACTTACTTACTCTTTCTCCCTCTACAAAGCCATTTTTTTTACACTGAAAAAAAAAACTTTACTTCTAAGTAAATGTAGGGCTTGATTACCCCTGGCAAAAGAACCCCACTTATACTATTATGGCCATTTTTAAGATTGTCTCATACATTTCTAAGCACACAATGCACAGTCAATATGGACTCATTGTCCCAGCCAGTGATTTATTTCCAGTTTATTTCCCCCCTGTTGGGACAATTGTTTTGTTTTGTGTTGATGACGAATCACTTCATTCGTTATCATTTCAGCCAGTGTGAATGTTGCTGCTGATTGATTTCCTTTGCAAAGTGGTTGGGTTCCTGGATGCTATGTCCACTTCATGGTCACTGCACTAGTATTCTTTTTAATATATATATATACATATGTATGTATATGTATATGTATATGTATATATACGTATATATACGTATATATACGTATATATATATGTATATATATATGTATACCAACAAATTGGTATTAGGATCCTCTGGTGCCACTGTTGCTGTCACGGCTGCCACCACAAAACCAACATGAATACATTGCTCAGAAGGAGACAGTCTTCCCCTCTTGTGGGTGAAAGAGGCTTCGGATTTCCAGCTTTGAACTGTAAAGAAAGCAGTGTTGTATTTATTTAACCCTGCCCTTTACAATTTTTGTAAGTCTTTCAAAACCCACTTCCTCCTCCTGACACAAAAGGGAAAAGATACTGTATGTGGGGAGGAGGGAAGGGATAAGGGGAGGAGGAGAGAAGCCTTGCCAAGAACAGAGAGGAAGACATATGCAGGGAGAAGGGAAAGGGAGGAAAGAAGGCACATACCGCTGTATTTCTGTATTGCTATGCCAGCTTGTTTTTTTAAAAAAAAGTTCAAGGGAGGGGTTCTGATTGGCCCAAGAAACAGTAGAGAAAATGAATCAGAAACAAAAATCAATGTAGCCTGCTATAACAGTTCAAACAGAATGAATCTATGTAGTTAAGAACAATATGAAGGCTACGACCGGTATATATACTAAGTGACCGCAAAAATAAATGTGTTGGTACAACAGAGATATGGAAGGAATTGGTATAACTGGAGTTCTTTTGGCAGGTGTGATTGCGCTCTAACTTACCATTTATAGGTAAGAAAATTGCCCATTCCATTAGATCAGCAAGCATGACCAGCTGTGATACTTAGTTTCTACTTTCACTGTGTACAAACTACGGTGAATATTATTTCCCCCTTCTTGTCATACATCTTTTATAAGATGTTGAGAAAGCACACATAAGGCAGTTTCGTATAATTCACTCATTTATAAAGTTTATGTCATATTAATGCTGTGTTTTTCTGTTCCTTCTTTAATGAGGAGAGTGCAAAGAGACAGAAGTGGATATAATGGGAAGCTCACTCTAGATTTCAGTGCCTATGTTTAGTTACACTGAGCAAGTTTCCTTCCTCATTACAAAGTATGAAATATGGATACAGTGGGGGGAGGGGAGAAGGAAAACCTGTTAATGCCTGATGTGATGCACTGGAAACCACACACACACACACACACACACCCGATTCATTCTGCTGATGTGAATTTCCTGGTCCCTTTTCTTCTCCGTTTGACTCCTCAGTTTATCTGACATTCTTCCATTTTGCCTTCACTTTTCCCTTCCGAGAAAAGGGAAATGTAGGCAATGCCATTTATGTGGCACCATTACATTGTAACTTTCACATTTTTATTGACAACTTAAATTGAGAACAGCCTAATGATCCCAGGAGATGGGTCTCTTGGCATAGCAGAATCTGCAGGAATTTAGAATGACAACCCACTGGGGGGCTACAAATGAAGCAGTGCTGAACAATGACAAGTTACACAGCTGTTTAGACTGAAATTCTTTTTTTTCTCTTCTTAGTGTTGTGACTAGTAAAGTTATTAGTAAAGTTACAGATATTCTCTCTCTTTCTCCCTTGTTAAATGCCCTTTGCTGTACATGTTATGCATCTGGAACAAAGCCCATGATAACAATCTGGCTTAGTTTTTCTTACACATCTTGGAATTAAAAGAAAACTTCAAAAATTCTGTTCTTCATTCCAAAATAAGATGGTAGCATGATTCAACAATCATCACCACCACACCACCCAACATATTTTAATATTTAATATTAAATATAGCAACATATTTTTTACTAGAGAAGAAGAGGAGGATCCAGGTCAGACAGAAGAGAAAGGAGAATATCCTCCTGCCCTGATGAGTGAAAAGTGTTGGGGCAAAAATGCAAGCTCCAACAGCCAACATGGATACAGCGGAAGTGAGGAGAGGTTCACATCATGCCCTATAAAGAACCACCCCAGTCAGACTTCCTTCGTTGGAAACATTATATCTTTTGTTTGCTGCCAGTTCTGGACCCTTGCTCATTGGACATCCTTACACCTCAACCTGGCTCAGCTTGACTGTCTACTGCTTGCTCCTCCTCCTAAGTGACTGACTTTTGCCTTTTGGACTTTGACTACATTTCTCTTTATCCAATGACTGTTTCTCCCTTGGCCTGGCTAGCTGCCTGCTGCAAACCTGAATGTGGCTTTGCCAAAAGACTGCTGGCATGAGACCTAAAACTCCCAGGTCAACTTTATTGCATTCAGAGCCCTGAACCATCTGAATGACACAAAAAATATATTCAATCCTTTTTGTTTGCTTGAGAACAAATTGCATCCATATAAGTTGCAGGCCAATGTGGAACTAGATATTTAAATCATATTGCATTGAACATATAAATAACAATGCTGAGATACAGAGATTTGAGTGTCATTCTACCCCTTACCAAGAATGGCAAGGACCAACCCTACCGTTGGGTAGAATGAGATTTCTGCCTCAGGCACCAGATTATAAGTATCACAAAAATTAAACTGATTATTGCAGTCCCCATCCAAGCTATATTATTATGATAGATTTACTGGTAGGTTGGGAAGGGTTGCTGATGGGATTTTCTGCCTCTTGTATCCCAATAATTTGGCTGGTGCTGGATCCTGACCTGTGAGATAGCATCGCTTGCCAATCTACCTCAGGCAGAAAGATATATTTGATTGACTCTTGGAACTTTCTGGGAAGGAAATATTTTTCATCATCCAGGGTGCCATTTCACTTCTGTTTCAGAAGAGCAATTTTGGTATAAGGTTGAAAGGATCTATGTAGTTAGCAACAAAGGCATAATCCAGGGAATTAAGACACAGTGGGTGGAAATTGATGGAGAATCAACCACCCTGCCAGAGAATTGTGAGTTAATCACAGAAGTATGAGTGCTCATAGGTCAGCCCGCTGTAGGTGTGTGGATGCTGGTTGACCACAACATGGGCTATGACATCATTTTCATATGCTAGGCACTGAAGGCTGATCTGCCTTCTATCCTTGTGTCATCTTATTCATAGGATGAATATTTAGCGTTCTTACAAAGAACAATTGCCTATGGCTGAAGCACATGTGGTCTTAACCAAGTGGTAAGGAAAGTGGGCCAGATTGCCTTGGTTGACATCCCTAAATGCTGCTCCCCCGAAAGCAGTTCACATTCAAAACAGATATATGGCAGGAGGCCATTGTCCCCACCTGGTTTTCCTCTAAAGATGTGACATTTCATTGAGGCAATGATAGACTGGACCTTGCTTGAGAATCAGCCAGGCAAATGCCCTTGCTCGCTTATATTAATGGACCTCTCTGTTTTGGATATTCAAAAGTATTGAAGGATGCTTTTCTGACAGGACCATTACTGCACCCTTTAGCTTTGATGCACAAATTATTTTTCCTGGAAGAACACAGCACTCAACGTACTCAGTCCAGGATACCTCTGGTTCTCAACTGTAGTTATAGTGATTATAGTCTTTAACCATACCACAGGTGCTTGCTTCTCTCACTCTGATCTTATTCCTTGAGCAAGACTATACAGTACATTTTCCTGCAGCATTCTGTTCTTATGATGTCACTTCGTTATAGCTTCACAATCTCTATATTGGTGAAGTGGCTAAATTATTGGATATAGACCAAGGAGATTCCTTTTCATGGAGCTCACTGAACAACTATAAGGTGGTCAGAGTTTTTTGAAATCTAATCTATACCACAGGATTGTTTTGAGGATAAAGGGTTTGTGTATAAAAATGGTGAGGAACATTTGGCCCTTTGGGTACTTTGGAAGACAACTCCCACAATTCTTTACAATTGGCTATGTTGGCTTGTGCTTCTAACCTATACTGGGAAGCTAAACAAAAGGAAGAAGACAAAAAACAAAACAAAAAAAACCCTGGTCACTAAAGACAATACAGAAACAAGGAAGGGTGACACCTTTAACAGACCAGTAAAATCTCATAGTCAAGTGCTAGCTTTTGAGTCCCAGTGCCTGTTGTGAGATTTTAGCAGTCTAATAAGAGTATCACCTGCCCTTATTTTCAAACAGAAATATTACATAATTTTTAGTATAGGTAGGAAGATTACACATGGCTCATAAATAAATTATGTTATAGAATGTATATGTGGAAATAAAACAAAAACAGAAAATAATATACATAATATGGCTAATTTATGCCTATTATTAACAACTATATCACCTTACACAAGTTTTCCCATATGAAGTAACTAAACATTGCAGACTTCATTAGATTTAAAGTGAGATCACATTATGCTACAAGGACATCTGCATGTTAATATCTGTCTTCATAGCATTACAATATATATATTGAATCTAATGTATTAATTTGTCAGAATAACCTATATATCCATCTTAGTTTCCTAGAATGGTTTTAATGCTCTTTAAACAGTGCAGCCCATCGCCAGCTTGACCTGCAGCGAAATGTGCAATATAAATTTGGAATTCTAACAAATATTCATGATCTGGGGGTATTTTTTAAAGAACAACATACTTTCACGCACTATGGCTATATGTTTACTTAATGTATTTGTTTCCATTTGCTAAGTGTCTCTGCTCTAGTTTATTAATTTCTTCTTTTACTTACCAGATGTACAATGAAACCCTCAGTAAAAACCCGGTAGAATTAACATTCTTCAGCCAAATCTAAATGCCCCTGATATCTTCTCTCATCCTGAAGGGACAAAAACACGGGGAACATCTAAGCCTTCAATCACTTATGAAGCATCTAAATCGAACCTCCTCTTCTTCAATTACTATAAGAAAAGATCAACAACAAGCCTTTTCAAAATTAAACCTTGACGTTTTAGGTCATTCAGTGAGAATTACTTATACTGTATTCTTCCCAAGCTCCTTTCTAAAAATACAGCAGATATATGGTAGTGTGCAACAACAGATTTTAAATGGAGATTTTGTATGATTTTGCCATATAAAAATAACTCTTATGTGTGCAATACAATTGTCACAACAAACCATTGTCTTTATTTTAAATTAAATGGGACTGAGTCCTAGTCATTCATATCAAAATATATGGCTAACAAATAATTAGTAGAAGAATGGAAGCTAAAGAGCAGCATGCCACAAGAGGGTCAGCGGAATTCTGGAGCCTTTTCAATTTGTCTCTGTAGTAGCAAGTAGCATGTTAGGTAATTACATTAGCTGAAACATTCTGAAGCCAGTGCTTCAGAATGTAATAAGATTGTAGCTTGCTCAATAATTCCTCTATCTAGAAGAAATTAATAGGAGAAAAAGCTATTGATTGCAAGGGTATACAGAAATCACAAGATGTGGTCTGGACCCTAACATGGTGCTTTGAAAAAAGGAGGAGATCAACTTGGAGCAGTCTACTTTTCCATTTGGTGTATATTTCTCAACTCAATTAAAAAAAAATAAAACAGAATTCTTTGAAGCCAATAATTTGCTTATTAAAAATATATGCTTCAGGAAACCTAAGAAGGAAATTGTATATATTGATACCACCAAAGGACCAACACAGAAATGAAACACATATTTGGTTAATTTATTTATTTAAAATATTTTAACCTTCCTTTCTCTTTAAAAACGAGTCTTACAACACTAAAGACAATATTTAAAGTTGAAAACAATGAGTGGTTAACATCATTAAAAGACAATATTTAAAGCTAAGAATAGTGAGCATAAAGAGGCAGCTTATATAATTAAAAGGCTAAGAATAAAAGTATACACATATTAAAAAGGAAAGAAAAACAAATGCCACTCTGAGAAGTGGAAAACACAAGTAGTACTAAAAATCTAGTCAAAGCATCAATGCACAACAATCTATCTAAAAATCTCACACGGATAGCTAATTACTTAGAGAAGGCTTGCCTGAAGAAAAAGGTCTTTGTCTGCTTGTGGAAGGACAGCAAAGATGGGGCCAGTTTGACCTCCTGTGGGAGTGAGTTCCAAAGTCTGGGAGCAGTAACAGAGAAGGCCCTCTCCTGTGCCCCCACCAAATGCCCATGTGAAGCTGGCCTGAGAGAAAGGCCTCTCCTGATGATTTTAATACTCGAGCTGGCTCATAATGGGAGATATGGTCTTTGAGATAGCTTGAACCCAGGCCATTTAGGGCTTTATAGGTTAAACCCAGCACTTTGAATTGTGCCTGGTAACTGATTGGCAGCCAGTAGAACTGCTGTAACAGGGGAGTTACATGGTCCCTGTAACCAGGCCCAGTCAGCAATCTGGCTGCTGCATTTTGGACCCACTAAAGTTTCCTGACACTTTCCATCGGCAGCCCCAAATAGAGTGTAACTAGGACATGTGTCACAGTAGCCAGATCAGATCTCTCAAGAAACAGACATAGCTGGAGCACTGGTTTTAAGTGTGCAAATGCACTACTGGTCACCACTGAGACCTGGGCATCCAGGCTCAGTGATGAATCCAGGAGCACCCCCAAGCTGCATACCTGTGTTTTCAGGGGAAGCGTAAGAAGAAGTATTCAGTTATCAAAAATATCACCGTGTGGTGACATCATCACTCTTCCATGGTATAATTTTTGCTATAGAATTTCAGCCTACATACAGTGCTGCCTCACAAGACGAATGTAATTCGTTATGCAAGTAGCGCTGTCTTGCGAAAAGCTGCTTCCCATAGGAATGCATTGCAATGCATTCCTATGGGAACCTTGCAAGATGAATGAATTTTTTTGTCTTGCGAGGCATTGGTCTTGGGGAAAAAACAGTCTTGCAAAGCACGGCCATGGAAGAAGCCGTCTTGCGAGGCACCATAGCGATTGAAAAAACCATTCGTCTTGCGGTTTTTTCGTCCCACGAGGTGTTCGTCTTGCAAGGCACCACTGTATTTGGAAGCAGAAAATACAGAAGGCCTGGTTTTTGTATAAAAATATAAAACTAGAAGCAGACCATAGTACAGACAATGAACTGCTAATATGAAAAATTAGAGTAAAGTTGAAGAAGACTAAAACAATCAGAGGCCAAATATGATTTGGAAAACATTCCTGAAGAAATGAATGGTCATCTGCAGAATAGATTTCCAGTACTAAACTCAGTTGACTGTGAACCACAGAGATTGTGGATTGGAACCAGAGGTATTACAAGAAAAGAATGCAAAAAGCTATTCCTGAATTAAAAGAAAAGCTTTGGTGGCTATGTGACAAAACTCTTAAATTCCTAATTAGAGATAAGAAGAAGAAAAAGAGAGAGACAGAAATTAGATGAGAATCCTAAATGCAACTTTTCAGTGACATTTGCAAAGAACAGTTATAATAATCATTGCAAAGACACAGCAAGGAAGAACAAGATATATTGTGTCTTTCATAAAATCTGAGAAATCAAAGGAAAATCCAGTCCAAGATTATGCAAGCCAAAAGCTCAACGGGGTAATGCATTGTCTGATTACGATAAACAGAAAATGGGAAAATATATTGAAGAAGAGAAGAAGAGCAATAGATGCCTTTGAAGAAAAATCCTTAGGTAAAGATCTTCAGAACTAGAAAGTGAAATATATATATAATCTGTCCCTGGTTTTCACAGACTGTCACCATCAGATTTATGATTTAGGAAAAAAGAGGTGAGCAGTTAAGGTTGAATCTTAGCTCATGGACACACAAGTAACTAACTAACATAGTACAAGCCTGGAAGATATAAGAAGAGTGGCGGCAGTAAAGCTGGTCATTGACTTCTTGGACGGCTGGGATGTTACATCCTTGTTTTCTCATTTCTCTCTTTCTGCATCCTTGATTCTTTTTAGCTCACACTCCTTGTTTGACAGCCTTTCCCCTAGACATTTGGGTCCTCAGTGAGAGCGTCTCAATTAATATGGGCAATATTGAATTTATTCAAAGTAATCTTCTCTGTGTCCTTGAATTGTTTTTTGTCCACCACACAATCAAGCATCTGCAGCAAGCTCTCCATAGAAGATACAGTTTGGGATATAGTCATCCGACATTCTGATGACAAGGCCAGCCTGCTGAAGTTGTCATTATTTAAGAACTGTAAAAAAATGCTTGTCATCTGTGTTTGTTCCATGACTTCAGTAACAAAGACTTTATCCTACTATTTGATGTTGAGTATTCTCCAAAGACAGGTAAGACGAACATGATAAAACTTTCTTCCATGGTGTTGATAGATAGTCGATAAGGCAGAGGGAGTAGAAGAACAGTTTTGTATCTCTTCAGCTTAACAGAAAAAATGATTCCATGTTGATCCCACACAGAGGATTGAAGTGAACTTATCCGCTGCAGAAAGGGAGTGTTTAGAACTGGTTCTTCATAGGGTAATCTGGAACAGATTAGTATATCACCCTGCAGATAGAGACAGCAGCCACAAAATTAAAAGACGCCTGCTTCTTGAGAGGAAAGCGATGACAAACCTTGACAGCATCTTAAAAAGCAGAGACATCACATTGCCAACAAAAGTCAGCATAGTCAAAGCTATGGGTTTTTTCTGTAGTGATGTTTGGAAGTGATAGCTAGACCATAAATAAAGCTGACTGCTAAAGAATTGATACTTTTGAATTGTGGTGCTGGAGGAGGCTCTTGAGAGTCCCCTGGACTGCAAGGAGAACAAACCTATCCATTCTAAAGGAAATCAAGCCTGAGTGCTCACTGGAAGGACAGATCCTGAAGCTGAGGCTCCAATACTTTGGCCATCTCACAGGAAGAGAAGACTCCTTGGAAAAGACCTTGATGTTAGGAAAGTGTGAAGGCCAGAGGAGAAGGGGATGACAGAGGACGAGATGGTTGGACAGTGTCATCAAAACAACCAACATGAATTTGACACAACTCCGTGAGGCAGTGGAAGACTGGAGGGCCTGGCGTGCTCTGGTCCATGGGGTCATGAAGAGCTGGACACGACTAAACAATGACAATCTCATCAGTATTTCCCTTCAAGCTGAAATTATTATAGGCAGAGGAAAATAGATCAAGACCTCTTTTCATATCCAGAAGTTTGGTTGCATTAGGAGTGAAGTCATGTGCAAGCAAAAACCCATACACTATACAAAATGAGACATTTATGGTCTGAAGATGCTCCAGATTGAACAGCTTCCCATCAGTGTAATATCAAAGGTCAACACAAGGGTTTTCTTCCCTGTAAGCACCCCAGAAAACATACTGAAAAGAAATGGAGCAAGAAAACAGCCTTGTGAGCATGTAAGTGGCAGACTTCTACCTTGTGTCCACATTTTTTGAAATATCAGTGTCAATCATTGGAGAAGTTTATCACCACATTTTTATAGATCTCCATTGTACTTGCATCTGCCCCCAGTTTTTTTTTCCATTGGAGAGTTGGTTAATGGCCTTGTATTTCTTCCAGAGTTGACAGAAAGTCCATGGAATTGTTCTTCTGGCATCCTGCTAATCAGCTCCTCACTAATTTCAGATGGTCCATTGAACACATTTTGAAATTCACAGATTTTGCAATCCATCTCTACAAAATTTGTAACTTTTTCTTGATGAGTCCTGAGCTGTTGGAAGAGAGGAGCAATGCATCCACATTTGGGGGGGGGTCATAGATTATTTTAACTACTCCGAATAATGTACTTGTTTCTTCATGACCAGCGAAGTTCTGAATCTACTCAGCCTTCCTATTGAGACATGAGTTCTGCATCTCTCACAGTTTAAATGATAGCTTCACTGGCAAGTGATTTGTTGAACTTCTGTCGCTTATGTTTTTGTTCAAGAGTTTTGCCATTTCCCTTCGCTTTCATCGGACAAATCCTGATGGATATAGTTCTTAAATCCAAGAGCTTTTGTAGCAGTGGTATCATGAAGACGTTTCCATTGATCATCAACAATTTTGCTTCCAGGCAGAATTTGATCTACATTTGCATTTAATTTTGTCTTTAGAATCAATCTGGATCCCTCACAGCTGAGCTTACAGACATTTAGCTTCTTTGATGCTGTGGCGATCTCCTCTGAAGTCCCTATTCCCCCAGGCCTTCACGAGGTTTTCGCTCTTCCTTCTTTTTTTGCTGCCACCATATATTAATGCTTTAATATCAATAGAGTAGGCAGATGCTTATTTTCCTTGTGGGCATCATATCAATTTTATTGGTATCTTTATTTTCGAGGTGAGTAGGTGCTGCTCCATCCAATATTCTGTTCCACACATGGCTTTAGTGACACGTACATCTTGTCTGTCTCCATGCCTAATAATGACATAGTCTAATAGAGGCCGATCTTGGAACCCTGGATGCACCTCAGTTGCTTAATTTGTTTGTTTTGAAGTCAAAATAATGTGTGATGATTAGACCATATTCACTGCAAACAATCTGGAGAAGCAAACCATTGCTATTACAATTTCCAGTGCCACACTTTCCATGGATTACAGTGATATTTGATGATCTGAGCTGATGGCTATGATCAGCTTGTCTGGTGCAAAGGTGGTGCAAAGGTCATCTTAAAATTTGTCTTTGAAGTTGTCATTATTGGTCATGGTGAGAGTGTAAGCACTGACAAGATCAGCATACATCTTTCCAGAAAATAGGAGTTCAATAGTCATACATCTTTCCAGAAAATGGGAGTTCAAGAGTCATCAGGCACTTGTTGATGGATTCTCAAAAAGTGCTAAGTTCACTCACAGCCTGGTTCCAAAACGAAAACCAACAGGCATCTTTAGGGCAGCCACTCCAGAAGAAGATGTAGCCAGCACCAGCTCCTTCCAATTGTCCTTCTTTTAGAAGGTGTATTTCAGTAAGAGTGACAATCTCAACATTAGAATGTCCACGTGCTCTACATATGTCTTATTCTCCTCTCAAGTCTGCTGCTTCAGGTGTTACCTAAAAGAAAAAAATTGTTCCTTGTCCTGGTCATAATAGGGATAGACTTTCTCCTTCTTTTATTTTGTAAGTCACCACTGCAAAGTGTGGGATTCTGCCAGCTGTGGCTAACTGGCTGAAGTATGGTGGAACAGACCTTGGGTAGGGTATCATTCCTGGTGGTCATTTCTGTAAGGCCTTTCATCCTAAAAGAAAAGCATTACTGGCAGCACACAGTTGCTTGGATGAATGTCCCACTGTGCACAACTGTGCTTAGAATGGGTCTATTCTAACCCATGCAGAAGCTTGTGGGACATCTATTCCATGCTATAAATGTCAAAAGAAATTTGGTATTGAAGAAACAGAAAATCAGTAGTCCATGGTGCAAAGTATTTTGCCCAAGATACATAAGCATGTTTTACAGTTTTATGGAGTCACTTTCTATCACACAATTTAATTCCTATGCATCCTATAATTCCATGGCTGATTTTCCAGACAGTGAGTCCCACTGCAGTTATTGGAACTCTGCTCAAGTAAACATGCATACACTAGGGCTGCAGAAATGTTTATCTTGCCTTTCTTCCCGTTACTTTCATCCTATTATAATGAATGTTGATGAGGTGATACTTGATTCAAATCTATTCCATTATTTCGAATTCAATAATTTAAACTATGAACACTTCACATATATATTTCCTAAAAATTTGCACACTGGCTTCTATTCACTAAGTATAAATAAGCTAAGTCAACTTCTAGCCAAGGTTTAGTTTCTTTGTTACTTGCTTTCAGGGTTTATGGAGTCAAAGCTTATACATTAATTTATTCTATGTTTTTCAGTGCTCAAATGTTTGAATGTAATATAGAACATTTGTAGAGTACGTAGATCAAATTCTTCACTTAATGGGCCCCGGTTGGAAACATGAAACTTGACCTGGTGGCAGGTCGTATTGTGGAACGTTTTTCTACTTCATTTGTGAATGATTATTTTTTTTACATTATCAATCTGAAAATAAATCTTCCTTTCTTTTCAACTCAGTGTTACAAACACAAAACATGAAAAGTAGTTCTGGTGAGTGTGACATTACATACAAGTCTCTATAAATGTAAAAAAAGAAAGAAAGAAAGAGTTCTTTGCCTTTTCTGTTTCCCCTCTAGTAGTATTTATTTTATAGCTTTCTGATTATGAGATAATAAGCCCAGAAATATATATGCATGGAAAATACTATTTGGATACATTATTAAATTTATAGAGAGGTGATGTTCCTCTTCCTCACACCGACTGAGGGGGTAAAACCTCCCATGGCAGTTCTGTTTGCCATTGGTTTTCCAGCGGCATAATTTAAATCATTAGTCATTAAAAAGACAAACACTGAGAAATTAATTCTGATCTGAGGCAGCTGAGGGAAATTTCCTTTCCTTAAAGGAGTTAAAGAAGTAGTATGATGTGTTTGAGAAGCTTGGTTCAGGAAGGATCTTAGTGAAGAACTAGAGGTGGTCCGAAAAATTCAAAATTGCTTTAATGCCTCAATAGATGCATTCATAATGCCACTCCTTTTTTTTCTCCTCTTAAATCCTCCTTCTATGCATTTCTTCTAAAGGAAATGCATATACTATGCTGGCTTTTAGCTGTTTGGTTTGGGTCGTGTATGTTTCTGTGTGTGCGTGTGCGTGTACGCATAGTATCATGTTAGATGACTGTAGACAGTTTAAGAGCCCTTTTTTGTCTGAGAACAAAAACTTTGGAAATAAACAGAAGTGTAGCAGAGCTACATTTGCCATTTTAGACATTAAAGAGGGTTTCCTCCCTTGAAAAATACTGAAGTAACATACAATAAGGGTAACAGTGTCCTCCAGCTTTGCAGTTTATATGAAGAATATTTTCACACCCACATATTAGTGTGAACAGAGACACACGCACCCTTCATGTTGCAGCTAAGAAAATACCGAAACTAAGCTGGTGTTAATGGCTTACTACAATCTAATGCAAGAGGCCATGGCTCTTTATTAATGTCATTTTTTTAAAAAAAGAGGAGATGGGGAAAGGAAAGAAAAAGAAGCAAAGGGAAAGGAATGGATGGGAATGGAGACAGATCCGTTGAGTGCCCTGATGAAAAGAAAATAGTTTCCTTAGCAACTGTAATACTTTGGATAGCGTTAGACGAATGTTCAAGTGGGTAATAAGTGTCTGATTTAAAATCTTTCACAGTGGATAAAGAAGTACTGCAAATGTGATTGATCTTTGGTAGATTCAAAAACTTGTATGTTCGTAATTTAAATGATTTCTGCATACTTGGAAATGCACAGAAGGATGCTGGAGGATGTATATACAACAGGATCAGGACTGATTATTATGGGTTCTAGGAGCTGAATTCTTTACCGTGTCTTGTAAGAGAAAAGCCAGCTTATTGGTTGACCTATGTGGCCCCAGAGATATCCCAGAAGAAGGGAATGTAAAAACTTAATGATTAATGTATATGTAGCAAATGTTGGAAAGGGTTGTCATAAGTTAGGACCAACTTGATGGCTACATTAATTGTTATAACAAAGGCATCAGAAATCTAGGATTTCAGCCTTTGGGAAATTGGCAGAAATAAGGATGATTATCTATAAATATCTCACATACAATCTATGGAACACTCTAGCATAGGACTCTGTGTGGAAGAATACAGAGAACTGAGGAATTCTCAGTCTCAAAATACGTATGCTCCTGCAACTAAGCTGAATGTGAGAACAAGTGAATTGGCTTGTTCAACATGTCTACAATCTATTTTTATTATCCCCTTCTCCTCTTGGATGGAGAGGAAGGTCAACAAAGAAGTATTAATATGTATGAAGATAATTCAACACATCATAAAAACTCTTAAAATGTAGAAAGGTAGAATACTTTGGTCAAGTAATGAGAGGTAAAAGGTATAGACTGTTACAGCTGATCATTCAAGGGGAAATCAGTAGGAAAAGAAGGGCAGAAAGAAGAATGGAATGACCTTGACAGTTGATTTGGATACATCCCAAAATAATTGTATATTGCTGCAGCACCCAAAAGGCAAAACAACCACAATTATGTCTAACTACTGATAGGTGAGGAACAACAAGAAGTCAGTATTCATTTTTCATTCCTCAGAGACTGCTAATGTACACCCAAGGATGAAGGAAAGCTTGAAGTTATCGTCTTCAGCAGTTTCTTAATTAATTAGAAGGGTTTATGGGAAAAGCTTTTATCTATGGCAATTGATTGTGGACATCATGCCCTTTTCAAGATGATGCACTTGGATGGCTGGGCGAAGATCAGTGTCTGTTCTGGAGGCCAAGTTTTGCTTGCATTTCAAGAGAACAGGAGGAACAGGCAGGGCCACTTCTGAACCTTCGGCTATTCATCTTCCTGTTAATGGCTGCCTGAGATATTGGAACATAGGCAGAATGACAGACCAGTGAATAAAATTGAGCAATCAATGTTCGTAGTCCTCTGTTTCAGCTTAGGCTCAGTCACTGACCTTTGACACATGATGTCACCTCCCTTCTTCTTACCTATAAAACATAAAAGTAATTCTGTTCATCTCCTTGAAATGCACCACCCTGAGTTTAATAGTAGTTCAGCACTGTCCCCAAAATATAAAGAGAGACTTTGTACCAACAATTTACAGAATTAAAATGGGCAAGAAAAGCCTAAGACATACCTAAATAAAAGGCATACAAATGAAATACCTAAGGCAAACAACCTAAATCTTTTGTTTCTCTTGAGGCAGAACCATGTAAAATAAAGATAGCCACCCTATACTATCTGCACAAAGAAAAGGGGGCAGTTTTTTTATAAAAAGGACTTGCATTTTCAGGAATACAGACTGTTTTGCTAGCAGACAAAGTTATGTGCAAGACATGTATGTCATAATCACCTCCAAAATAATTCACACCTATGAGGAACAAAGTAACTTTTTGGTCACACCCCTCTTGTCTGAAAAGGACCCCTAAGTTTTTATCATTCAGTACCCTATCTTTGATTTTGTAATGTTCCACAGCTCCTCAGATATGTGGGTATGTACTGCATTGTCAGTGTGGGTTGGGAATGATGGTAGCTGTAATCTAACACACCCCGAGGACTGTAATCCAACATACAGGGGGGTGGGGAAGTTGCTATCCAACACACCTGAGCTCAGAAAGACTTCCTATGTGCTTACATGTCTTGTGCACAAATGAGAAATGAATTTTAAATAACTATAGGCTGCAAGCAAAGGTAGCATTTGAGGTTTGTTCTAACTCCAGTGTTGCGGAGTGATACTTTTAAAGAATTATTGAACATGCTCAGTTTATATTGGGGATAATATTTTAATTTATTTGTACATTTTTAAAATCCCATTTTGGATGTATATATTTTTATGTGTACTTTTTAAAATTTGCAGGGATTACTTTTGTCAGGCTAACATTATGCAAGTGTACATATTTCTTATGTATGTTTTCATTGTAATGCTAGTGGTCGTTGAATGACCAAAGTGTTTATATGAACAATAAAGTTAGTAGGTATTGAGGAGAGAGGCCAGTCCTTGGATAGCTCCTGTAAAGCTGATCCTAAGGAGTATGAAATCGATACTTCTGCAAAGATGCAAAATAAAGAGTAACTGCTACTGATTTTTTCTGTTTCTGTAGCATGGATATCATAGCTTTTTTTATTTCAGGTGTGGCAAGTCTGAACTGGATGTTCTGCTATACCCAGGTAGTTAAAGAAATGTTTCTCATGCTTGGGTTCCCAGATGTTCCCAGATTAAAACTTCCAAAAGCCTTCAACACTAGCTATGCTGGCCAGGATTTATGGGAGTTGTAGTCCAAGAACATTCTCAAGGTTGAGAACCAGTGAATTAAGGCATGAATTGCAGTGGCCAAATCAATCTTCCCACGGCTCTGAAGAAGTGAATTGTAATCCACAAAAGTTCACACTAAGTTTGTTAATTTTACAGGTACCACAATACTTGCATTTTGTTGTTATTGCTTGTGAAGGAATCCAGAAACAAGTCTAAATACTGCCAAAAAGGTAAAGGGTTCTAGCTCCATAGCACTAGGCTGGTTCCATCACAAGTCACCAGAAAGTGGTGGGAGGGTTGGGTTAAGGACCTGGAAAAAATAAAGAAAGGTGAGGAATGATCTAGACTGGGAAGAGATGGGTCCAAAACTCAAGGCTAGAGTTTCATGTCAAAAAGTTGTACACAGCCCCAATTACATCTAGGAGGACCACATGTCTTACAGAGAGTTTGGTGGGAAACTTAATTTTTTGGCTAGAGAAGGTAGCCAAAAATCCATACAACAGGGTGTAAAGTTAGTCCAGTTCCTTGGTTTGAGGAGACCGGTTGTAGCGGAATCCAAAAGATGACATCATTCCTGCCTGTCAATCAGAGGATAGAGCAGGAGGGGCAGAGCAAAAAGGACAGTTAAGACAGTTGAAAGGAACAGTTAGGGACAGTTGGAATGAGACAGGAATAGAGAGAGTCAGGGACCAGAAGATATTGAGAGAGTGTTAGGGGTTAGGAATAGATTAAAGGGGTTAGGAAAGGAAATTGAACAGTTTACATCATATTGAACAAGCAGGAATGAACATTTAAGCTTAACATGAGATATATCGATTTAAAACATATAATAGTTCTGAAAACCAGTGATTGAATACATGATCTGATATATGCACACCTGAAACAGTTATATATTGATTTTCCTTTTTATTTGTTCATTAATAAAAGAATATTTGATCAAAACCCCTGATTACTAAGTTATATGAGCAGCTCCTGTGTGTGGGACTTGAATTGGTATTAGGATAATACCTGGTGGCAGCGAAAAAGGGCGAGTTTACCTTTGTGGAGCCCAAAGAAATAAGGGGCGCAAAGGGAGATCGCCACACCGGTTATTTGGAGATTCAGCATGGCATGCTGCTGGTAAGAAAGGCATTCTGCACTAGCTCAGAAATCTTGTTACACTGTCTTGTTAGCTTCGATTAAGATACCTTATTTTCTTGTATTTGTCTTTTACTTAAACTGTCTTTTTGACAAATATTTTGTCCTTTCCAATTAGGTTTCTTTTTAAAAAATATTTAATTTAAAGAAGTCCATTTGGTGTGTTTCTTGGTTGGCAATTGGGCTGCTTCGTTCTAAGTTCAGAGTCCTTAGACTGAAATTGGCTATGCAAAGAGTCATTGCCATTTCATACCTACATTTTATACTACCTTGGATGGCTGGTGTTCACCCTGCAGATATAGAGTTATTGGACTTACAATTCACAGACTGAAGGGACCCAACTGCCAGTAAACTCTGGGATTTTGAGCATCAGTGGAATTTGGCTGTATTTTCACAGAGATAGAACTTTGCCCACATTGGATTCCTTCTTGGTGGTAATATCACCAGCTTTTGCAACTGTCTCAAGGACATGGGTTTGGTCCTTGACAGTGCTGAGACACACTAGAAGCTAATTCTCTGCAATCATCCCTAGGAAGGGGGTGCCATGGGGAAACCAGTCAAGGTTGGACAGAGGCATTCTTCATCCCAGCAGCCTCCTGATCTCCCAAGAGCAATGCTGTGTGAATGAGTACCTTCAAACTCCAAGCCTGGGCCTTTAGAGGAATGCAGTCACATCTGAAAGATACTTGGCATTGAAGATACTTTAGCATGTTCTATGGGCATTTTCATATCTGGCACTAAAAGATATTCTTGCTTTTATTAGTTTGTCAAGCAAATGTAAAAACGTATCATAACCAGCAATTGCCTTCATATTACAAATGTGCCTCTTCCACCTTCACTGCTCTATAGTCAGCAAATAGGGATATGCTGTGGCTTCCGAAAAACGTATCAAAAAGAGTTGAAGCAGGGATAGATGTACTGTACATTATTGGTGTGTGTTGGGGGAAGTTTGAGAAGTCTCCAGTCACATTTGGATTGACTGGGACAAGCCTACAAATGACCGAGGGTTGCTTTGTTGTTCTAGGGGTTAAAATGCTGACATTTAAGCAACAATACTTGGCACCAGTTGCTATAGTAAAAGAAGGAAGGATCAAGCCAGAAGGAAATTGACAGCTGAAGCCCCAATAAAAGCCAAAAGGTCTCCTGGAAAGTCCAGCCAATGAGCCCTGGTGAGGACTTAGCCCAATCTCAGCCCAGAGTAGACACGTTCTAGATGGGCGCTAAATCAATCAATCAATCAATCAATCAATCAATCAATCAATCAATCAATCAATCAATCAATCAATCAATCTCATCTGACTCCATTTATTCCCTAGCCACGTGATCAAGAAATTATTACATACCCAGGCAGAGCAAGGGCCATATTCTAAAATTGTCTAGCTTTTTCTTTCATGAAGCTACATTGAGTTTTCACTACATTTAAGACTGATTGTAGAACAGATAACTGACACTGTTGTATGGGATTTGATTGAGTGGATCAAAGTAGACATAGAAAACATTTTTCCCCCTCACTTGCTATTTTCTACTCTCTCTCTCTCTCTTTAACTTTTTAATGTCAGCCTCTGGCCTTTATTTGAAATGCCATTCTTTTTCTTGCTGAGATTGCCTATATACATTCCAGAGTGGGTGAGCGCCAAACAAGTAGGACTCTGACTTGGGTGAGGCAACAAAGAACAATTGGGCTGCTGACAGAAGATACTACGGAGACACCATCCACACACCCCAACACATACTTTCCCTGGCTCCTGGGGCTGCAAAAAAAAGGAAGGAAAGAACAAGTGAACAAAAAGACAAACAAATGAGTGAACAAACAAATGAACCTGGTAGGAGCTTTGCCTACAAATTGAAGGTACACCACATGATGCTCTTTATCATACACACCCTATCCAAGCTCATAACCCTTTATTTTCCACATTTTCAGTTTTTTTTCCTCTCAGTCTAAGGCCTACAAGTACTTTCAGAAACCCAAGACCAAATCATTTCAGGCCATCTCCAAATCAGCTACGGGCACCTCAGTCCTGATTTGTAAGGCAAATATTTGTATACAAATTGGATCAGATAGCATCCAGTAATGGTTAAGTGGAGGACTCATGGGCGAATGGTCTTTCATTATGCTTTGAATTATGAGGTGAGAGCAGTCTCATGACAGTGCCACATCTATACCAAATTGGCACAAAGAGGACAGCTGCACAGCTAAGGTATTCCCCTCCTTGTCATAGCCCAAACCTGAGTACCTTTTGAAAGCATTGCAAGTTGCTATATATCCAGTTGGAATTATCAGTTTACAGAAGAATAACACACAATATACAATAGCTAAAAGCTTCTACTCTCTCTCTCTCTCTTTCTCTGTAGAAGTTTTCTGCAACTGTAAAATTCCCTGTGAATTCTGTTTCATCAAGATGAACTAAATACAAAACCCTTTACTCCAGGGAAAGAGAACTTTCACCCTGTGGGCCAAATTTAAACGTCAAGACCTGTCAATCTACATTTCTTGTGGGCTTTGCTTCCTTACCAGCTCCAGGAGGATATAGTGATATTCTGTTTACCCCATTGTGCTCTGCACACCAACACCTATACAAACCTGATGACAGAAACTGA